GTATAAGAGACAGAGATAACATGTCCTACGGGGTGCGAAATTGTTGTGTTCCAGACGCCCAAAAATAACATTTGAGGCGTTCTGGGCTATCATTTTTTCTCTTTCTTTCTTCTTTTTTTACCTCCCAAAGGGGTGGGGGGCGGGGCCGGGCCGGTCCCACCTAAATCCGCCCCTGTAAATAAAGATTTGTATGCTATTTGCTTGTTGTCTTCCTTTTTGGGCCCTGGTCTAGATTGTTGTAATATTACATGCTTGGTCGTCAATGCAACGAAGCTCATCATTATTATTGCGTGTCTTAATTGCAGGCTGGGGCATTAGTATTGGTGTATACAGACGGGAGTGTACTCCTGACCCACGGTGGGGTTGAAATGGGGCAAGGTTTACACACTAAGATGATTCAAGTCGCTAGTCAGACGCTTGGGATTTCTTCAGAGAAAATATACATTAATGAGACATCAACAAATACTGTTCCAAACACCTCACCGTCTGCTGCAAGTGCAAGTTCAGATCTGTATGGAATGGCAATCAAAGTGAGAGTTAAAGCCTTTTTTTCAATGGCAAATCACTTGTTTTTCCTCATTAGCCAATCAAATCACATTTTCCTCATTATAACCAATCAAATTACAAACATGAATGTACTATGATGAAAATAAGACAAGTGTTTCGGATTATATACCGGTACTGGTTTTGGTCAACTTGTTTTCCAAACGCACGCTTGGTCACTGTAAATGACAACTCACCAACTATTTACTGCTATGCCATAGAATTGATTATTTCCAAATCGAATTTAATATGAAATAAACATAAACGTGATATTTACTGACGTTCCCACGTTCTTTTTTTTTTTATATAGAATGCGTGCGAGAAGATCCTCGAACGTATCAAAACGTACGCCATTGCAAAGCCAAACGCATCATGGGAAGATTGGGTAAGCCGGGAAGTACAGACAGTTCGTACTCATAAATTGGCGTATATTACGATAGCACTATAATGATGAGAAATATTATGGAAATACGTCGTTTAAAAGAATAAATATGGGATAAATATAAAAAAACAAGAATCCTGGGTTTTTATTTCCTAATGTTTATAGTAAAATAATGTAAATAGATTATGTCCAGTCACTAGCAAAAATCAGCTTTGACTGTACGGTGATTTGTTTTAAATGCTTATTACTTAGGTAAAGGCTGCCTATTTCGACAGAGTCAGTCTTTCAGCAACCGGATTTTACAAGTAAGTCTTTCTCAGTCACTGACATGAATTAATATTTTCCAAATTTCTGTTAAACCTCTATTACTCCCATGCACTTTGTCTTTCTGTGGAAAGGCTCACTCGACAGTAGTTCACTTTTAGGGTGTTTCTATTATATGTCCTGTATGAATTGAAGTACTGTAACTGTATTGTAATAAGCCCTCTCGCGTGTTTCAACTTCTCAAGAATGTGTTAAAGATCAATGCATAAACATACTCTACTATCGTCTACAATTCTATAAATCGTTATTAGGCCTACTTAATGGTATCAGCTGTTGATCTTTATGGCAGTCGAACATAGCAATCTTTCGTTAAAACCTGGTAATTTATTAAAATTATAAAACTTAGACCAGAGAAATTATGTTTATCGAAACTACAAGAAATATTATTTCATATAAGTTTACAATAAGCCTTTTCAGTTAATGATATTTATTATTTCAAGAATGCCTTTATATCTATCTATAACCACGTTTAGGACGCCTGGTATTGGCTATAATTGGGACACTAACTCTGGCTCACCATTTAATTACTTCACATTCGGCGTGGCAGTGTCTGAAGTTGAGGTCGATTGTCTTACTGGTGATCACGTGGTTCTCCGGACTGACATTGTCATGGATGTTGGGGACAGCATCAACCCTGCAATTGATATCGGACAGGTAATGAAATGATGGTCATAAAAAAAGAACTACCTGTTGTTGTTTTGTTTGTTGGCCTAATGCAATCATTATGTGTATCGTTTTAGAAGACAATTACTACAAGTGTAAAGGAATCTTATAAATAGCATAATACGCCATTTAATTAACTTTATTGAGTGTTAAAGCTTTGGTCTCTAATCGAAATTTCAGAAGTTAAAATCTGATTTTGGTCAGCAGTTTGTATAACTTTGTATACATCAGTATTATATTTTTAAATCAGCAAAATAAAACGCGTATCATGGTGCTCCGAATTTCAAATTAAGATATACCCTTCGTATTTATTTAGATCGAAGGCGGTTTTATTCAGGGTTATGGGTTATTCACCCTCGAAGAACACCGTTGGAGTCCTTCTGGACAGCTACTGACCAAAGGTCCAGGATTTTACAAGATACCAGGCTTCACTGATATTCCAGTTGAGTTCAACGTTAGCCTTCTATCCGGTGTACCTAACAAAAGAGCTGTTTGTTCTTCCAAGGTGATTGACTTTTACACAATAACTTATCGTAACATTAAAATAAACATTGATTACTCTCATATTAGGAATGGTTCTGAAGCTTGACAGTGAAAATTCCAACTTCCACTCATAGGTTTAATACTGCGATCCTAATCTCGCGATTAAAAATCGTCTTGATTTTTAACCACCCCCTTTCCTTATTCACTATTCCTAAGATATACTGTAAACAAGCCATAATTAAATTATATTTTAACAATAGAATTGGTCCATTAATTTAAGAATCCTTTTATTTAATAATTGCATTATTATCTTGTTTTTATTTATTGTCTATAATTATTGTATATTGTGTTGATGCTTGCCCTTGATGGCACTAGTAGCTAATAAAATAATTGAATTGGATTGAATTAAAAACAAGTATTCCACTGTATAAGCCTCTTAAACAAACTTAGATATTAGTGTATTTGGTTGTAGATTTATATAGATTTTGTGGTAAAAATTGTGCAATTTTTTTTAACAGAATCAATAAGGCTTGATAACGAATTAAGTAAATATTTTATAGTTTTATACATTGATTCTCTATTAATATTTCATTTCAGGCAATCGGTGAGCCACCTCTTTTCTTGGCATCTTCTGTATTTTACGCCATCAAAGACGCTATCCTTTCGGCAAGACACGATGCTGGCACCGAGGGAATCTTCCGTTTAGACAGTCCAGCAACTGCTGAGCGAATCCGAATGGCTTGCGCGGATCAATTCACTGCAAAGGTAAGAAGCGTGAAACGCATATTCGTTAGCTAAAACCTGGTTTCCTTAAAGCCTGGGTTCTATAAACATCCACTACATTGTTGCGCTACCGCAATCACTACACAAGCTCTCCCAGACGCATTTTGGGAGTCTCTCCGATTCGTCACTGACAAATCCGCAAAGTTAAACCAGTTTCAACCTTCCCAATTTGTAGGCGACAAATGATAACCACTGACCAATCATACGCAGAATTCACTAAACGTCACCAGATTCTCTTCGACATTCGCAGCACTTGATTTTCTGGAGCGATGATGCTGAATTTATAAAAAGCTACTGAATATGAAATCAAGATATATATTTGTTCTTAATTTAAATTTGTATATATATGGTTCCTATTGCAGCTATCTTATTACTTAATTTAATTTATGCATATAGGTGTAAATATGAATTGAAGTATTTTTTAACAATGTGGCAATGAATTTTATTATAGCTTACAGTATTAGATTCCTTTTTATTTTTTTCTCTTATTAATTGTAATACAAGCATTTTTAGCTGTGTGCTACCGTTTTTTACATTTTTTATATACCGAAATAAATTAAAAAGAAAAAAAATGAAAGGAATCTTGTATATATTTAAAGAAAAAACTAATACATAAGGACCAGTTTATCAAACCATTTATTGTTCTGTGTACACTGTAACTTGTGTATACTAAAATTGCTTAAATTAAGGGTGGATGGTCGCATATTGGCCTACGTCAGTATATACCTGTGCATTGTTACACGTCCACATTCAGAGCTCAACATGATTACATTGTAGGTTTGTCCGAACATTTATGTGTGTTTGTGTCTCAAAACATAAAATGGTTGGTAATTTACTCTCTGTTCTATTATACTTTCAGTTTCCATCGGCTGTACCGGGAACCTTCAGACCCTTCTTTGTCAGATCGTAACTTTCCGAAGCGAGTGACAGAATATATGCAATTGTCGTATTATGAAATTGTAAAAAAGAAATAGATTATTTAGTTTAGGTCAGATCCTGGATAATTTGTTGATGCACTGATAACATTCGGGTTCTCAACCACGGGTTAAGAACCCGGTAAGAGGTAAGCCATTCTTGGCCAGTAAGCCATCCTTGGCCAGTAAGTAGCTCAGGAATATTTATGCAAATGTGAAATACCCTATTTACGACTGATTTATGACACTTTAATGCATAATGCAGTGCACATTTATCTATGTATGGTTTAGCCCTTTTGACAAATGTAGGCGGGGGGGGGGTGCCAGGCCGGCTCACCCTGAAACCCCCTATTAATTCATTTAATGTAATTAGGTGACCTTATATATATATTGTTGTTTTCTCTTCAACTGGAAATATATTGCTTTGTATAATTTTCTTATCAATTATATATCCACTTATCATAATTAGGTAAGAGGTAAGCCATCCTTGGCCAGTAAGTAGCTCAGGAATATTTATGCAAATGTGAAATACCCTATTTACGACTGATTTATGACACTTTAATGCATAATGCAGTGCACATTTATCTATGTATGGTTTAGCCCTTTTGACAAATGTAGGCGGGGGGGGGGGGTGCCAGGCCGGCTCACCCTGAAACCCCCTATTAATACATTTAATGTAATTAGGTAACCTTATATATATATTGTTGTTTTCTCTTCAACTGGAAATATATTGCTTTGTATAATTTTCTTATCAATTATATATCCACTTATAATTATGTGACTGTATTGATATGCGCATTAGTAAAATACATGTAATGTAATTAGGTGCACCTGATACAATTTGTTGTTAGCAAAAGCAAATGGAAATACATTGTTTTGTATAATTTCAATATCATATATATATATATATATAAATATATATATATATATAATATGTAATATAACAATAT